AATTAACAGAACAGTGCCTGTAATTTCGTTTTTTGTGTTAGACCCAAATATCTAGTTAGTTTTGTTTTGAAGCTCGATTTGTGTTTCGAAATCAAAATTAGAATCATATGGGCCCCGGAAACGCATGAAAACACGATTGCTTTTGTATTTTGTTTCCTTACCACTAATATTTAAGAAATTTGATTTTTTTTTTCTAAGAAATTTGATTTGGAAACACGACGAAGATATTCAATGCTTGCTAAGTCATGAATGGGATCCGAGGAAAAGTGAAACTTTTTTTTGAAATACATTCATGTGTTAAATTTTGACTGTGTTAAAATTAATTAAATTATTTCTCATGAATCGGTTGGTCCATGCATTCAGACCAAACGTTGATTACTTTTTTACATTGTTGGAACGCGGAAGCTGACGCTGTATTGACCAACACGGCATAGTTAATTTATCATATTTCATCATTTACTATACATAAGATCCTCCGTAGTGTGCATGGTTGATGTCTGTAATAATATTATTTACCGATCTATGATATGATTACTATCCAACTAAGAACTAACTGTAAAGGTGATGTTATTTGATTCGCCTCTATTATTGAGTTGGCATAATGCAGCAACATACATTAATTTACTAGTTCTTCATCTTAAAAAAAAAAACAGTAAGCAAAGTTGTACGATATAGCAAAAGAAAGTGCAGTCTTTGTTTACAGGAGCTTAAATCAAAATTTTAGCCCGTAAAAAGAAAGAAAGTGTTTGTCAAAAAAAAAAAAAAAAAAAAGTGCACTTTATTATACACGTTAGTTTATTTTTGGCAGTTGTGTTTTCTTTGGCTGAAAACATTTTTTAAAAATGTGAAATAGTATGCTAATTAAATCGAAAATAGTGACTATGGTATTCACATTAGCATCTTTTGGTATTCACATCAGCATTTGCTCGCTTTCTCAAGGGGTTTAGAACATCTCTAAAAATACTCTCTATTTTAAAGTTTCTAAAATTTCATATTTGAAATTTTGTTCTTCTACAAAAGCAAAAATTCAAACTCAACTTTAAAATTATTTATATTTTACATTATAATTAATCCTTCTATTTGTTATAGTTAATGTGAGTTCATAAAACTTTTATAAATAACACACATATATAAAAATTATACATCAATATAAAATTATAAATACAAATACATAATTAAATACTAAGCACAATATCATATTTGTGTTGTCTAATTCTATTATTAAAATATTTAACTACAAGCAAATATTAAGTTTCTTTTTCTAATATTCTTGTTGTCTAATTTTAGTTTTGAAATATTATAAATTTTATTTTAAAATTTTATTTAATTTATCTGTAAAACTTAAATTTATAAAAAAATAAAAACAAATTTAAAATATTTATGACATATAAAAATTTGTAGTATTAAAACGATAAACAAAAAAAAATATTTATGAATTATAAGTTTTATTTGTAATTGAAGTTTTGAAATAATGAATAATTTTTTTAGAGCAAAAAAACTTTATATTTGAAGTTATAGAGGTTCCTTTTGAAAATCCTTAGATGATCGATTGTTTCAGTTTCCCTTTTAAACATTAAGGCTCTTAGTAATTTTATTAGGTCCAAAGATTTTGAGGTTATCTAGCCTAAGAATTTTTTAAAAAGATTTGATTAATATGCTAAAAATATTTTATAACTTAAAAGTAACCCATGTTTTTGTAAACTTCAAACTATTATTTTGTTTGATAAAAAATAATAACACTATCATCCTTAAAAAAAATTATCATCCTTTTTTCTAAAGTAACTTTTAGCATTTAGAGTATAGTCTAGTAAAATTTTGAAATGTTAAATCAAACTTTAATTTAAACTCGACTAATAATATAAACTATTTAAATTTATTTGTTCAAAATCTGTTTTTCTATTATTTATCTTTGATGGAAAAATACTAATGCTTGCTTATTTTGATTTGTTTTTTACTTACTTTTATATTTTGTTTTGCTTTTTATAAAAATATTAACATCTTAAAAATCTTTTAGTTTTCTTAGAAACTTAAAATTGGGCTGAATTTTAGAATGTAAACATAACTTTAAATTGGACTCAAATATTTATGATTTTATATGAATTTGGGTCAATGTAAAATAGATCAGCTCGACTAACATCTATAGATACAATAATCATATATGTAGATATGGTATATTTTAGTCAAATTTTGTCATTCTAGAATGTTCGCTTTATCTTATATATACATCAAAGTTTTATAGAATAGAGAAATAATATTTTAACAAATATTTTCACGGAAAGAATAGATAAAGAAAATTTTTCCGGGTATTTTCATGGAAAAATACTAATGCTTGCTTGATTTGATTTGTTTTCTAGTTAATTTTCTATATTTTTTTGCTTTTAAAAAATATTAACATCTTAAAAATCTTTAAGTTTTCTTAGAAACCTAGAATTGGGCTGAACTTTAGAATGTAAACATAACTTTAGATTGGATTCAAATATTTATGATTTATATGGCCAATGTAAAGTAGATCAGCTCGACTAACATCTGTAGACACGATAATCATATCAGTAGATACGATAAATTAGGAAATATATTTTAGTCAAATTTTGTCATTCTAGAATGTTCGATTTATCTTATATATACATCAAAAATTTATATAACAGATAATGAATATTTTCACGGATATAATTGGGTTCCATCTGTTTTTTTTGGCATACATGTTTTCATTTTTTTGACTTCAGTCATCTTTTCTATCACTTTTCTTTCTGAATCAAAATTCTTATATATCCTTAAAAATATTTTTTGAGTATCTATACATCTGATTCTAGGGAACAACGGTAAAATTTTCTATTAATTTATTTTTAGTTAATCTAATTTTTATAGTCTTTTGATTCTAATATTCAATTAAATAATATAAGAGGAATATGAAACCAGAACTTTTATGAGTGGCATATCAATTTAAATTCAGTTGGAATCTTTTATAAAACTCATATGGCTGACAAAATATAGATATCTAAAATTGAGTAATATAAGAAGATTTTTAAAATATACAATAATTTAAAATTAGTTGTCCACTAATCAAAGTATAAGTTCATATAAGTTTTGGCAAAAACATAGTATTAGACTGAAAAATTTTAGTGTCTAACAGGATAATCTTGATCTTATCAAGTAGATTTGTGTCAAGTATTTAATATGCTTAATGGATTGTTTGTTTTGCATAATACGTTAATGCAGTATATTGTAATGTATTGTGTACAATTCTTTATCTTTGTTACAGGTGTACAGTGTACTGTATATGATTAGGTCCATATCGATTATATGTTTCAGTATTTGTTATTCAGATTTTACTGATCGATCTTGACAAAGCCTCATTGGTCGACCCGATTATGACAGTTATTTTACATATCGCAATTTGTCAAAATATATTTTATTTATATGAATAATTTTAAATTGATATTTTGATAAAAAAAATATTTAGAAAATTTATTTTTTCTGAACCACAAAGTCTTATCCATCTTATATGGATTACTTATAAGGATATTGTTTTCAGATTTTTAAAATTTTATCTCCTTAGTTTCTTACTTGGAGTTGATTTGTTTTCTTCACAGATTGTTTTCCTACTCCATATGTATCTTTGGATTGGTACCAAAGATTTACATTCCTTACATATTGGAAACGAGTCACACATTTAATCGGAACGATCATTGACCAATAGTACCAAAGATTTGCATTCCTTACATATTAGAAACGAGTCACACATTTAATCAGAAAGATCATTGACCAAATAAAGCTATGCCACGTTTTTAATATGTAAGGAAACGAATATATCTGGATCAAGAAGTGAGAATGAATGATAGGCATGTAATTGGAGCCAACTAAGCGCTTTTACTGTTGGATATCTATAGAAAACTAATCCCATCGATTAGAAAAAAAAATCTTATTTTTCTAATTATATTCAGCAAAATGTTTCTAATTATCAAGAAAACAAATTAGCTTCACGTAGGACGACTAGAGAAATCATTTTATAAAAGCTGTAAGCGGCAGTGTTTTTTTTCTAATTAACCCAAAAACGACAATAATGATTTTGTGATAAAATGAACTAAATTTACAGTAGTATCATATTTTTACTTATCAAAGTTAAATTATAGGAATTAACTATATTTGGATTTATTTGTTTTATACAATTTTATTACTAATCATAAGTATAACTTGTCTCGACTAAATATGCTAAATGTAGCATTAAATATATTTGTATATATATATATTTATTTAAAAATATATAGTGTTTCATACATAACTTATATATATATAGTTACAAGAAAAATCCCAACTTTAGATCTGTAAAATGAAATTAAATAAATCATCTGAGTTTGTTTTTAATCATTCTTTCATTTCATGAACTATAGTCGTTCTATAATTAGCTTTAATCATTAAAAGATCATGATTATTATTAGAAGTAGAAACTCAAACTATTCAGTTTTAATTTAGGGGACGATAAAAGTCCGCACTCCAACATTTGTTTGTAAACACTTCACTTTGATTTAACCATAGCTAGACAATATACTAAAATTATTAATTTAAAACTATGCTCTAATCCTTAGCCAATGTACGCTAGGTGGAAACTGGCTGTAAATCCGAAATCTAATGGAAAATAGTTTATTTTTAGTAAAATATAAATAGAAAAGAATCTCAGTTACAAAAAAAAATAAATAGAAAAGGATCTCACTAATACTTTTACGGTAACATCCATAAAAGAAAAGAAAATCTGTAATGAGATTATTATTTTTTTAATAAATGGTTTTGTTTTGTCTTGTTTTGAGTTTTTTATTGACAAAACAATAAGATCGTATTTGTTCCATTTATTATTAATAAAAAATTAAAGTCATAGAACAAACTTTTACACCATGGACAAATAAATAAGGAAAAGAAACAAACCATATATGTCTTTCACGGTTTTCTATATAATAGCTTTTAAGTGGTTGATAGATTATGCATATTTCTTTCATTTGGGTTGAAAGATGGCTTCTAGGCATGATAGCAGTTCAAGTGATGAACATGAAACATCTCTTAACACAAGCGATGGGGATAAGAAGATTTACCATCGCCACACTACTCATCAAATTCAAAGGCTCGAAGCGTAAGATCTTAACTTAGTTTATAGTTAGTTTTTAAATGAAAACTTCTTAATTACTAATTAATGTTTTCTAAATTTACTTTAGATCTTTCAAGGAGTGTCCTCATCCGGACGAGTCGCAACGGTTTAAATTGGGAGAAGAACTGCAACTTACAGCAAACCAAATCAAATTTTGGTTTCAAAATAAAAGAACACAAACCAAAGTAATTTCGTCGTAGTTAGTATTTATTTCTACATACTATAATTCCGTACATGACATAAATTGCTTTACTTTAACTAAAAGAAGTGAGACTGTGACAATAATTTACCGTTCATTATTTTATTAATCAAAATTAAAATATGGGATATATTAGTTTTTTTTTTACTAATAGAGTTTACATAGTATTTGCATATTCAAAAAAAAAATGAAAATATTAAGGTGATTGCAAAATTATTAACATTTTTTTCTTCTTTTAAATAAACAAATTACAGGCTCAGAATGAAAAAGAAACCAATGAATCACTTATAAAAGAGAATATGGAGTTAAGACGTGAGAACGAAGCAATTCAAGTGGCATTGAACATAGTGACTTGCCCTACATGTGATGGCCCTCGTCCTGGGCAAGGAGAACGCACACTCGCTATCCAAAACCTCCGTACACAAAACACATATCTTAGACAAGAGGTGTGTCTTCATGCATAAATTTTCAGTTTAAAATTAATATGTGATTTTCATCAATTGCTCCCTTGTTAAATGAATATCCCAATTCTAACACTAGAATATCTTGGTTAGTGCTAAACTTAAAATACTTATGGTAATGGATAAGTAATATAAATCTATAANTCCAAAACCTCCGTACACAAAACACATATCTTAGACAAGAGGTGTGTCTTCATGCATAAATTTTCAGTTTAAAATTAATATGTGATTTTCATCAATTGCTCCCTTGTTAAATGAATATCCCAATTCTAACACTAGAATATCTTGGTTAGTGCTAAACTTAAAATACTTATGGTAATGGATAAGTAATATAAATCTATAAAATATACAAAACAAAACAAGTCGTTTAATTAAAAATAATTTTGTTAGTTGAACTTTTTGGCTTGTCGATTTATAGTTTGCTTGTTTTCTATGAAACATTTACAGATTAGATTAGCAAAAAGTAAAGAAGAATTTTGTTCAGGGTTTATCTGTTCACCATCCATCTAATTTATCAAATCTAGTAATAAATGTTTTAAAATTGTTAAAGTTATTCAAACTTCAAGGAAAACCTGATATAAAGAAATTAATAAACAAATTCAAAACAAATCATCCATTGGATGATTCACATTCTAACCATCCATGAACCAAAACTGATTTCTGTATCATATTTTAATTTTACCAATTTTTACGTTAAATTAAATTTTCAAATATAATAAAGGAAATTGGTTAATGTTTAATTTAATATACTTATGAGTCATATTATAAATATGTAAATTACATTATATACATATAATGTTTTGATATCTAATTAGAAAAATACTTTTTGGTTTTAATTTTATTTGTTATACATGCAATATTCATTGATAAAATTGACAAAGAACCAATAAATGGTCAGAGTTTGTTTGATCTACATTACTAAAGTTTTTGTTGATCAAATATGGATACAGCGTGACAGGTTGTTAAATCTGGTAAACACGAGCGAAGGTCACTCAAACCCTACCATCAATGCGTTGGCCTATCCCCATGGTCCACCATTGTACCCATCGTCTTCCAATAATCCATATGTCCCATATGGAACCTCTTCCAACCATCTCATGGAGCCACCAATCTTGGGTAGAGAACCATACATCGCCCAGCCACCTCATTCACGAAGGCCGCTATCTGACATGGAGAAAGAGAACATGACTGAAGCAATGAGAACTGCCGTAACGGAGGTAGTAAATCTGATTCAGAAAGAAGATTCCATTTGGATCAATTCGTCAATTGATGGTAGGCTCGTCATTGATCAAAAGTACTATGAGGAAAAAATTATCAAGCCTAAACATTTTAAGATTCCAAATGCTCGTATTGAGTCTTCCAAAGAAGTTGTGGAGATTCAAATGAAAGCTCAAAATTTGGTGGACATGCTCTTACATACGGTATGTAATGTTATTTAAACTTAACCAAAAATATATTCTTATTTGTTACATGTTTACATAGTCAGAGATGTGTTCAATATTTTAGAAAAATTGATGTATCAGGCGGCTAGACGCCTTCTCACATGACAAATTTTAGGAGTTATATATATATATATATATATATATCTTTTTATCAAATAGTTAACTTAATAAACTATACATCTATATTTATATTAATCCATTAATTAATAATAGTTATCTATATTTATTGGGTTTGTTTGGTTAAATTTTTTATGATATTTTATATTTTAAATTTATTTTATTATCAGAATTTCATTGTATTTTGAACATTTTTTTTGTTTTGTTCATATTTTTATCAAATCTTTAATTGGTTAATATTGTATTTTATTTTGAATTTCTTACATTGGTTTATCACTTATAACTTTGCATCTTTTTTGTCATAAAAATTTTTCATATTAATCAGCATATATAAATAATGAAGATGTTCACAATCACATATTAATTTATATTAAACTTTTACTATTATAGTTTTGTCTCTTCAGTAAAATTAAAATATATATATATATATATAATATAAAATTTGTGTATATTTTTCTTGGCATGTTAATTATATTTTCATAAAATATTAATAGAAGTTTTTTAAGATATTTGTGTTGAACCCTAAAATGCTAAGCATACCTTTGTAAATATTGTATGCCATGATTATAAAAAAAAAATCAATAAAACTCCTTTTATAAGTTTTTTTTTGTCATCTACTCTTTTTATAAGTTTATTTCAGCTTTAAAATTATAAATTATTACAGGAGAAATGGGCGAATATGTTCTCAACAATTGTGAGTGAAGCTCAAACGATTCACATGCTGGAATCCATAGATCCGCAAAATAAATACGTCCCGAAATTGGTATGAATCTTATTACATTTTACTAAGTTGATGTTGAACTCTTAATATATACATATAATTACTTGGTGAATATACAAAAATGGGCCGATACATTAAATAGATGTATGAAGAACTGCACATACTGTCGCCATTCCTGCCACCAAGAGAGTTTAGGATCTTAAGATCTTGCCGACAACTGGAGGAAGATTTATGGGTGATTGCTGATGTGTCGTACCATGAAGGAGATCAATTTAAGACTCCAGTTTGCTCTAAACGTCCCTCTGGTTGCCTCATCCAAGCCTTGCCCCATGATTCCTCTAAGGTCTCCTCTCTTCTCATTATATATATACTTAGTTTTTTTTTGTCAACCATATATATACTTATTTATTTTCGATAGATATTACTCTTAACTATAATTTTATATATGTATTTATTATTTTAAATAGTTTCATACATTATATTTAGCTAGCGTCTAACGAGATTCGAAAGGATCGAATATATCAATTTAATCATCTTATATTATAATTTGTAGTGTTCTTTTTCAGCTACATGCATAATGAAAATTAGAGCGTGTTTAGATCGTTGTTAATACCATCATATTGCTCGAACAAAAAATTAGTGAAAAAATGTAAAACATTTCAATTACAGTTTTTGCAAAAACCCTATAAAACTACAAGTAAAACTTTGACAAACAACATGAGCAGGTGACGTGGATGGAGCACGTGGAAGTAGATGACAAAGTGCGGACACATCGGATTTACAAAGACCTCTTATGCGGCGGCTTTGGCTACGGTGCCCGCCGTTGGACCACTACTCTTAAGAGAATGTGTGAGAGGCTGTCTCTCGGCAACGTCTCTGCCTTCCCCCTTTCCGACCACCCAGGAGGTACTTATAATATATATATCATAATCCCATATATAATTATCAATCTAGCCAAATTGATATCTGTGATGTGTGATAGCCAAATTTATTATAACATGTTGAGTTTCGGAAAAAAAATTCCAATTAACAAGTGCTAGTTTTGGCACGTAAAAGACTTTTATATATTTTTTTTTGTTTCTAAAAATGTATATTTTTGCTTTTACTTATTAAAATATATAATAAATTTTAGTAATAAATGTACTGTTTTGCGGTTATCAATTTTATACTCATAAAATATTTCTGTTTAAAAACATTTTAAAAAATTGGAAGTTATTAATATTGACAAACAAAAAAATTACTTTAAAAACATGAAATATGATTTTCACAATAATTTTTTTAAACATATAACTTTCTGAATCAGTTGAAGTATGGTTTAAAACTTTGACATACTTTTAATTATTTTTTTTATATAGTTGTGGAAACCATAAAAGGAAGGAGAAACATCATGGATTTGGGAGAAAGAATGTTAAAGGATTTCGCATGGATGCTAAAAATGCCCGAAAGTAATAGTAGCGGAGTAAGGATTTCGACGCGGGTAATCAACAAAGCAGGTCAACCGCCCAGTTTCATTGTCTGCGCTGGTATGTCTTTATGTCTCCCTATCGCTCCTCTCCAGGTCTACAACGTCCTCAAAAATGTTGAGGTTCGCCACCAGGTAAAAATCTTTTGCTTGCACAGGTCTATATCTAATCAGCTTTTTTTTTTTTTTTTTTGATACAAATGTAGTTATTTTCACATTGTTGTGTATTAACAAAGAATCGATTTGTTGTATGTAAAAAATAGTGGGACAAGTTCTGCGAAAGTAGTTTGGTCACTGAAGTCGCTCGTTTTGTCACTGGAAGAGACAATGATAATTCTGTGAATATCCTCCGTGTAGATCCAGCCCAAAACACAGATAGAGTAAGTCATGGTTTAAGATCCATATATATTATTTTTTTTTGAGTTTTTTCAACTGAAGAAAAAAAAATTAAAATATATATATAATAGAAATGGGCACATTACTTAAAATTTGGGTAATGCCTATCACAGACATGGACCGGTTCTGCCTCCGCGTATATTACTCATACTTTCTTATTATTACTTTATAAGAGATTTACCTAATA